AGAATGTTAGGTTTGTGTTTCTTGATCCATTCTGTCCAGAGGAGCATTTTTCCCGGATTGGATTTGAGGCCTCTGACATTTGTTGTTAGAATCTTCCATGTGTGTTCTGAGCTTGCGTTGTCTGGGTTGTGATTGTGTTGATTTTTTGGTGGTATGGGATGGTTGTTTGTTTTTGTGTCTAGTTCTTCCTGTAGTGGTTGAGGGTTGTTGTGAGTTTTCGGTAGAGGAGTGTTGTTGTTGTTGTCTTCTGTTGAGTCTGAGTCTGACCATGTGAGGTTTGTTTCGAGTTGTTGTGTTGTGAATGGGAGGTTGTTAGAGTTGTTGGAGCATTGGTTGTCTATTGTGTTGGTGTTTGATTGTTCATTGTTGCTGTTGGAGTTGCTGTGTGAATTACCCATGATTATTATTTGTTGGTGTTTGGTTTGGTTGAGGTTTGAGCCAGTGCGTCCAAAATTCGTTGAGAGTAAAGGTTTTAAATATATGGTTTGAGATTGTTTTGGTAAGAAAAATTGCTGCCCCATTGCTGGCTATAGTAGTAGGGAGGCTCGAGATGATGGTAGTGTTGTTAAGTGATGTGGGTAGTGGATTTGATGTGGTGACTTTGGTTTCAGAACAGCAGAAGATATGCCTTTCACTGGTTAGAGCTTTGGTTAATTTCCAATGCTTTTCTTTGTCATTGAGTCCTTGGACATTAAGTGTAGAAATTGTGATGAGATTTTTGAGATTGTTTGTTGTTAGAAATGATTTGGTTGTGAATTTTATAGTTGAAGTTGGTGAGGAAGGTGTAGGTAGGGGACTTGTTGGGTTGGGTAAAAATGATTGACTTGAGTTAGACGCTGTTGTGATCATATTTATATAAGTTGTGGAAGAAAAGTCAGATCTGGGTCAGGTGACTCTGGTTTAACGATGAATTCGGTGGGAAGTTTTTCAAAATAAAAGAGTTTTTTAAGCAGTTAGATTTTATTGGAAAGGGTTCCATCCTCAATTATAGGAAGTGACAGTGTGGATTTTTCAGATTTGAGTGTTTCTTGTGCTATGGTGAGACTATGGAGGTTAGGCAGAATGGGTAAGATCCATTCCCGTGGAATTTCTCCCAAGTACTTGTCCTTGATTTTCTTGATTGTGAGTTCGAATTCAGGGTGGTTTCTGTTTAGATTATCGCTAGTAATGCCTAGTTCCTCTTCAAATTGTGAGAGCTTGGTTGGAATGATGGGTTTTTCTGATTGGGTTAGGCCTTCTTTGATCCATTCGGGGCCTAAAAGAAGTTTGAAGAAAAACTTGTTTCTGAGTTTTTTAATAAATTTTTTGACCTTGTCTTGTTCGATAATAGGTAGAATGTTACCATTGTTCTCATTATACTAGTGAACTGGTGATAAGGGTCTCTTAGGTTTAATGAAATCTTGTGGCAGTCTCTTTACAGCATACATGTCATCTCTTAATATTTGAACTGCTGCTTGGATCATTTCTGGATCATT